ATTTCTGAATTCCAGCCATGTTTGGTCCCAAGGCTTGTGGCTATGTGATTGTGAATCTGGATGAGCCTGGAAAATTACTGTTGTTTTCAACCAAAATAAGGACAGTGTAAATGTTTGTAAGTTGAAATGAATGGAAGATAACTAGAAAGGAGAATTTAAAACATTGTTAGTATTGATAAACGTATTGTTCTGCTGTTATTTTTGATGTCTCATATTTCTTCTCCTTTGGTTTATTCTTGTATTAAGAATTATTTATCATTTTAAAAATAAACTGGGGAGGCAGCCAAGATGGTGGATTAGAAGAAACAGGCTGTGCATGCCACTCTTATTTAGGGGATTGAAGGTGGTGAATGGACATCTACCTTCGGATCATTCATCTAAGAGAGAGCATTGTGAATCAAAAGAGAGGTGACAGGAGGCACCCAAAGTGAAGGAGGGGAAAGAGGCAACCTGCTTTGTAGTCTGGAGGTACACAGGGAAGACGAATGCATACATGGGGAAGAAATAGAGGAGAGAATCCTAGGGCTCCACATTCTGCCCACTATCTGTCTCTTGTCATTGCTATCTGAGCTGCAAGAGGGACCTTCCATTTCAGAAGGCCACAAGACTGACATAAGGAGCTGACTGGAGACTGTGCTGTAGCATTGCTCAGGGGAGAAAGCACAGCAGGGACCCGCTGGCTAACTGAACCCTGGGCACTGTGGCTGGTGCCATTTTAAAATCTTAGACCTAGAGCACTGGCTCTACCCAGAGGTCACATGCATTGCTGCTCCTTCTCCATAGCAGCTGTCAGTCCTGGAGAAAGGAGGGAACAGGGAGGCCAGGCACTCTTATGAGTCCCGTGGGCAGGAGCTGCTTACCTCCACTGCTACCAGGGGACCCAGGAAGGGCGGCAATTGCTGCCACCTGTCAACACGGGCAGAACTACACTCAAGCTGGTGCCGGATGACAAATGCTGCTGTCTACGGGTCTGAGCCAGACAGCCCTCAAGCAAGTATGGGCTGTCAATCGCTGCCACTCAAAGGCATGGACAGGCCTACACTCAAGCTGCAAAGGCCAACAACACTGATGCCTGAGGGTCTAACCCGGTCAGTTCTCAAGCCAACAAATGTCACCAGCTACAGACATGAGCAGCGTTGTGCTCAAGCTGGCACTGCCCCCACAAATCTGAGCAGGACAGCTCTCAAGCCACAGCATGGGCTGACAATCACTGCCACCTGTGGGCATGAGAGGAGCTGCACTCAAGCTGGCACAGGCTGACAAGTGCTGCTGCCCACAGATCTAAGCAGAGCAGCTCTTAGGCTGGCTCAGGGTGAAAATCACCACTGCTGACAGAACCAGGTTGGGCTCACCCTGCAATATGGGGACTACCAGTGACAACCACAGGGAATGGTAAAGCAGGAAATGAGGGAGAACAGCAGTGTTAAATGCTCACAGAGCATCTGTCTATTTTGTGCCTGGTCAATTCTCCAGAGTCAGACACAAGTGCACCATCCAGGGATCTCTGCTTTGCACTAAGTAGGAGGGTTCCAGCAGAGGAGAACAGGTGCACGGCAACTTATCTGTGTTGAGCTGAGAGAAGAGATTTCGGAATAGAAGAAACCAGAATAAGAACTCTGACAACATGAAAAAACAAGCTGTTTCAATACTTTCAAAGGATCACAATAGATTTCAAGCAGCAGACCCCAACCAAAAGGAAATTTTCGAAATTTCAGAGATGGGATGCAGAATATGGATGGCAAAATACAATAAATAGGATTGGAGAGAAAGTTGAAAACGAACATAAAGAAGCCAAAAAAGTATTCCTGGGTATGAATGAAAAAAATGAAAAACTCGCTAAAGAGATAGACGGCATAAAAAGAGATATAACAGGACTTAAAGAAATGAAAGAGTCATTTAGGGAATTTCAAAATATAGCAGTGATGTTCAACAAGAGGCTAGACCAAGCAGAAGAAAGAACTTCAGAACGTGAAGGCTTTTGAACTAACCCAATCACTCAAAGATGTAGAGAAAAGAATAAAGAAGAATGAACAATCACTCAGAGAAGTGATAGGGGATAATGCAAACTGGGCCAATATAAGAATTCTATGCATCCCTGAGGGAGAAGAAAAAACAAAAGCCATGGAAAACCTGTTCAAGGGAATTATTGAGGAAATCTGCCCTGGTATCACCAGAGATTCATATTATTCAGATACAATATGGTTATTGAACACCAGGAAGATTCACAGTAAACAGGACATCTCCAAGACACGTAGTCATCGACCTGGCCAAAGTCAAAATGAAGGAGAAAGTTCTATAAGTGGCAAGACAAGACAACAACTAACCTAAAAAGGAAAACCCATCAGGCTAACAGCAGACTTCTCAACAGAGACCTTATAAGCCAGAGTGATTGGGGCCCTATTTTTAGCCTTCTTAAAAAAAAAAAAAAAAAAAAAGAACTATCAGCCCAAATTTTGTATCCTGCAAAAATGCAAAACTGTTTCATATATTATGGAAAAATAAAGACTTTTCCAGACAAGCAAACACTAAGGGAATTTTTCACTACTAGAACTACCCCACAGGAAATACTTAAAACTGTATTATATATGGGACAGTACAATAGATACCTACCAGTGTAAAAATACCCAAAAGTTAAAGCTCACAGCTGTAATAAAACAATAGCACAGGAGATAAAACAAAACAAGTTATCATCCAATATGATGAACAGAACAGTATATCCCACATATCAATATTAACACTGAATGTGAACAGTCTTAATATGCCATTTAAAAGATATAGACTTGTTGGATGAGTAAAAAACAAACCAAACCAAAGGTACATGCTGTCTCCATGAAACACATCTAACTCACAAGGACCCACACAGACTCAAGGTAAAGTTATGGAAAAAAATATTCCACACAAATGGAAACTGAAAGAGAGCAGGTGTAGCTATTCTCATTAAGATAAAATAGATGTTTTAAAAAATTTTTAATTATCATGGGTACATAATTGCTGTATACCTTTATAGGGTACATATGACATTTTGATGCAGGCATACAATATGAATTAATCAAATCAGAGTAATTGGCGTATCCATCACCTCAGAGAGTTATCATTTCTTTGTCTTAAAAATATTCCAATTTCACTCTTTTAGTTATTTTAAAGTATACCCTAACTTAGTGTAGATTACAGTCACTTTGCTGTGCTATCAAATATTGTTCATTCTATTTAACTAATAATATTTTTTCACCCATTAACTATCCCCACTTTATTCTCCCTTCCCTGCTACCTTTTCCAGCCTCTTCTAACAATCATTATACTCTGTGTCTCCATGAGATCAAGAGTGGTAAAAAGAAAAAAAGAGACAAAAACAGTCATTATATAATGGGAAAGGGAGCCATACAATAAGAAGACATAACATTAAATATATATGCACCTAACACAGGCTCTCTCAGATTCATAAAGCAAATTCAACTAAATCTAAACAAAGACATAAACAGTAGCATCATAATTGCTGGGGACTTTGACACCCCAACAACAGAACTGGACAATTCATTGAAGCAGAAAATCAATAAAGAAACTCTGGACTTAAACAAGACTCTAGATAAAAATGGACCTAACAGGCATTTACAGAACATTCCACTCAAAAGCTACTGAATATACATTCTTCTCACCAGCACATAGGACATTTTCCAAGATTGATCATATATTAGGGCACCAAACAAGTCTCAGAAAACTCAGAAACAGAAATCATACCATGTATCTTCTCAGACCACTTGTGAGTGGAATAAAACAAGAAATAAATTTCAAGAGAAACACTCAAACCTATATAAAGTCATGAAAATTAAACAACCTGTTGCTGAACAATTGTTGGGTTAATCATGAAATTAAAATGGAAATCAAAAGGTTCCTCAAACTGAATGATGAAGGAGACACAAGCTTTCAAAATCAATGGGATACAGAAAAAGTAGTCCTAAGGGGAAAATACATAGCCTTAAATGCCTACATCAGAAAGACAAAAAGATTACAAATTAGCAACCTAATGTCACACCTCAAGGAAGTGTAAAAAGAAGTACAAACCCAAGGCAGCAGAACAAAAGATATCACAAAAATCACAGCAGAACTAAATGAAATGGAAACCAAAGACACACACACACACACACACACACACACACGCACACACCACACACACACCATGGAGTACTACTCAGTTATAAAAAGTAATGAAACAATGTCTTTTGCAGCTAGTTGGATGGAACTGAAGACCATTATCCTAGGGGAAGTATCTCAGGAATGGATAAACAGACGCCACATGTACTCTCTAATAACTGGGAGCTAAATGATGGTTACCATGGGCACAAAGTGATGTAAGGGATATTGGAAACCAAGAATTGGGGATAATGGGAGGGAATGAGGCATAAAAAATTACCTAACAGATACAATGAATACTACTCTGGTGATGAGCACACTAAAAGTCCCAATTTAAACATTGTACGAGGTATCCACGTAACAAAAACATTAGTACTCCCTTCATGTTTTGAAATTAAAAAAAAGAAATAAAAATAAAATCTTAGTTCTTATAAATAACTGGGAAGGAGTAAACTTATTTACGCTTCTTTTAGCTTCCCACTTAGAGATTCGACCTTGACATTTGAGTTTGTAACCTACCAATGTCTATAACTCAATAAGAAAGTGATAAGTGTCACTTTCTGATAGACAGTTCCTGAAAAGTCAGAGTTTGCTTGAGCAATGCAAGGAATTTACAAGACTCACAAACATTTATGCATGCCAACATTTTTAGAACTTTTCTGATATTTGATATTTTACAAACTTTTTCTCACTGATAATTTTCTTCAAATAGGGTTTCTTCATATTTCACTTTTCTCATGTAAATGTGTCACCTCAGGCAATAATACATGTTCCTAAAGTCAAGGATGATTCCACTGCTTCCCTGGTATATTGCTAGAATTTTAATTTCATAGCTTAACGATTCAAAGAAATGAAATAATGTTCACAGATACCTGAGATATCAATGCTGTTCAAATCAATATGGAAAATGGCCAGTTGGCTGGATTTATTTGCTTCAATGCCTTGAATCAGTTCTTCTTTTACATTTTCATCTGACACCCACTGGGCAAAGAAAAGGTCAAATATGACTATAATGCTGCCATTTCTGCAAAGCAAAAGATGATACACGAGGAAAAAATCAGCCGTCTTCAAGTGATCTGTGTTCAATTCATTTAAAATGTCTTTGAAATTCCCTATAGCTATCACCTTGCTAATCCTCATTATACCTGTGTACGGTAGTTTATATCAAATATTATCTTTATTTCATGAGTTAAAGAAATAGGAATTTAAAGTGTAAATGCTTTTCTAAGAAGACAAATTTTCGAGTAGATCCGAAATTGGAATCTGAGTTTTCTGAGTTTCAAGTTAGAATACTAATCCCTGGGCCAGGCTGTTCCTAGAGTCATTGGTGTTAAATTAAACAAAATCACATGGTGTCCTGGCACTTATTCTGATTTTACTGTTTGCAGAGATGAAGGGTATGGATTTGTGATTTACTGTTTGAAGAGATGAAGGGTGGATGATTTCTAAGTCAAGAGAACTCTAAGGTAGTTCATTGGTTTCAAAGAAAATATTTCCATATAATTTAAGAAGTCCTGATAGCAAGCTTATAACAGCTAATCTACTTTTTCTTCTTTATTTTGCTTAATATAAAGTATCAAAATATATCATGATTTCGAGGGATAGAAAGAGAACAAGGACACCTAGGATTGAGTTGGGGTTGTCTTGCCTACATGATCTCTGATCACAAGATTAGAGTTCAATCATATACCCCTATCATCTTCTCTTTTATTTTGTACCAGGCTCTTTAATATGCATTTTAAAAGGTGATTTTTTTTTCAGTTTAGAGAAAGATAAAAATGAATAAAATTTTGGCTAGTGTGGATACTTGAGAGAGCTTTGTTCTCCTGCTTACATTCCATTTGCTTCATGCTATCTTTTTAGGATACACCACTTGGGAGACAAATTGTAGCTCTGATAACTATTCTTTCTCCTTCAGTAAGCTGGAGGTACCCAGGGTGTACTTGATTCCTTAGGAGACAGACTAGGGAAAACCATATTTTACATCATATGTTTGCTGGTTTTGAAATATAGAAGTTACTCTCATATATTCTTGTGATATCTGTAAGTTTATGAGCTTCTTGAGGAAATTTGTTAACTCCAAAAGAGTTCTTTATTGGTCTTTCCATCTATGTATCCTGATAGAACCTAGAGAAAAAGTTATTTTTTTCCTCCATGACTATATATAGGACCACAATGTTCCTGAAAGACTACAGTAGATCAGCATCTGCACGAGGTAGGATATTCCTTCTTAAAGTCTATGCCACTATTCAGTTTCATAGTTTAGCATAAGTGATTTCTTTCCTTGTAGCTGGTTTTTCATTTTTGAAATGAACAGGATACTCTCACATAATATTTTCATACTTCACATCAATTAAATACATTTTACAAAATGTTAAGTTAGCTTTCCAATCATTTGCTTAAATCATAGTAACCAAATCTTGTAAATGAAAAGACTTAGTAACTGTTTAGGTCAGAGTTCCCCAAACTTACCCATGCACGGAATCAGTGCTGTCCTTGGTAATGTCACATTTTGTCACAGACACTGCTTTTATCTACTCTCCACACTCATCAATTTTTCCATGCTGGCTGAACCCTAATTTTACTGGAGAAGAAGCTTCTATTTTCTCAGGAAAGGTGACATCTTCTTTAACCATTCCTCATGTTAAACATGGTTTTATTCATGGGTATATGACCTGGCACTGGTCAATGGAATTTGAGCCAAAGACTGATGGGAAACTTCTGGAAAACTTTTCCATATCTAATAAAAGAACTGCTCATAGTAGACTACTAGTCTTCTTTGTTGAACATTTTGTCTCCATATGATTGCTGGAACTGCCACATCTGTCTTAATGCCGTGAAGCAAGCCATTGTTGACAAGCTTAAACATAGTATAGTGGAGGAAAGAAAGCACTCGAATCCCTGACTCTGTCATCATTATTGCACCACCAAATTAACTTGTGCTGAAACTTCCAGATTTCTTGTGATGTCATGTAATAAACACTTATTATTTAAGGCATTTTTAGTTATGTGCTATGTTAATTGCGATTTTTAAAATCCTAACTGGAATGTAACTCTCAGGCCTCATTTCGTGTTTATATAAACAGAAGCTCCAGAAAAGGATGATTGCTCTATTTTTGCACCCGATGTTGGCTAACATTTTCATTTAAGCAATAAAGACATTGAGGCTCAGAGTAATGTAGATAACTTAGCCCAGGGTTATACAGCTTATTAGTGTCAGAGATAGGAATGAATCCTAGGTTGTCTCTCTTTCCAATATGTTTTTATGTAATTCCCACTCCCCCATCCATGACACCACTTTTATTAATATCAACTCTACCATGGAGTGTACGTCAGCAGGAAAGAGACTACGGCACATTCACCTCAGAGGCAAGTTTGGGTTTTTGTTATCTTGCATTGTAACCAGAACTTTGTATACAAATAGATGAGGAAAATAGCTAGTTGGATATTTTTTGGGAGAAGGAAAAGATATTCTAATCCCTCTAATACTTTCAACAGACAGAGTCTTCCCTCTTCATCTTCCTTCTCCTCTTGTTTTTCCTCCTCCTCCTTCTCTTCCTTTTATTCTCTTCCTCCTTTTTATCTTCTTCTTCTTCTTTACTTTATGTCTCCCTAACCAAACTTACCACCCAAAATAGTTACATGGACAGGATTAAATATGGCTAAAATAAAGTGAGGGTGAGTAATGTCCATTATTTTCTCTGTTTTCAATCCCACTTTTTCATCTTATTCTTGGTTGCACATTAGAAAATTTTAATTCTGATAAAATCTGTGTTTTATTTTTATGTAATTTCACATATTTTAATTTGAACACTTGCTTTTATTTTATCTAAGTTAGGGGATGAAAGAGGTAAGGTATTTTCAGAAGAGAAAGTGCAAATCAGGAATTTTCCTTCACTGAGTTGAAAGTAACTGGATGAGTTCATCCTCAGGCATAAAACATTTTTGTATGAAAGATGTGTTTTCTTAGTTGTGAATTATACATTGCATTTAATAATTTATACTTTGCAAGGACAGGAGTTGCATATCCTGTATCCACATACAATTGTATGCTTTAAATATTTTTTTCTTATTCAGTGTAACTGTTGAGATAAGAGAGACATATAATAGAAATCAAGAGAACAACAATAACCAATTGTGTTTCTCCTTATAAGAAAGCTGAAGCTTTTATTTTAGTAGTTTAGTAATAATTTCATTTATTAAGGTAAATGAGAGTTCTTTCTTTAGGAAAAAAAATGAAACGATAGCCATTTTCATTTCAAAGTACTTGCTCCAGTGGAAAA